TATGGAGCACTGGGTGTGGTGCATAAACAATGAATTCTGTTATGCTGAAAAGAAATTTTAAAAAATCATTGGAAAAAAGTTTAAAAATTGTATATGTTTATGGGGAAATTTTTTACTCAATAATCTCTCATATTCATATAATTACACTGTGTTTACTTACACCATAATGTAGTGCTTTAATTATCATAGCTTTACAGTGAGCTTTGAATTAGTACATTTCTCCAATTTAAGTCTTCAAAGTCGTCTTGCTATTCTAAGTACCTTGAATTCCATATAGATTTTAAAATTAGCTTGTAAATTTGTCCCCAAAGTGACTTCTCCCATGTGAGTCAGAATAAAACTGATTTGGCATTCCAGGAATGTGGAGTCTTCTAATCTATGAGTGGGATAGATTTTGTTCTATTTATTTAGATTGCCTTTAATTTATCCCAGCAATAGTTTCCAGAGGTCTTTGTTATATGTGTTCTTATGCATTTAAAGATGGTGGACATGAATCTCTGTTCTCCTTATTGAATTTCCTTTTTTTAAAATGTCATTTTCTTAATGCTCATTGGTAGTGTGGAGAAATAGAGTAGATTATTCCGTGAGTGTTATGGAGGTATCATTTAGCTACAGTAGACAACATCACTTTAAAGTGTACAATTAAGAACAAACTTTCAGGAATCATTTCTATAGCTACTTAGTAGAGAAGTTCCTCTGAACATGTACAGTACCCAAAACCATGAGGAGGAGGCCCAGTATTCTCTCCAGAGTGTGAAACTGGCTTTAGGTGTAGTTTCCACAGCTGCCAACTGCCATCAGTGACTGTTCTTCTCCTCCTTTGGAGGAGTAAGAGAGAGAGACGTAGTCTGAATGCTTTCCCAATAAAATAAAAATTAAAAAAGCTAAACGGTACAATGAAATGCATTTTCACACATGTAACTTTCATTTTCCTTGCTAAGTAGTATTCCTCTACTGGATATATTCTGTGTGTACCTTCACCTACTGATGGACATCTATGTAGTTTCCAGGGTGTAGCCATTGTGAAGAAAGCTTGATGAATATTCATGTGCAGGGTGTTGTGTGGACATACTGTCTGAATACATAGGAGAGGAATGCCTTTTCACATGACTGGTAAATGTTTACCTGTGTCTCAGCTTTTCTCAGGAGTTGGGCCATTTTTCATTCCCAAAAGTGTAAGAAATGTTCAGTTCCTTTACATCCTCACCACATGTGTTTTCAGTCTTTATAATTTTAGTCACAGGGATGGAGGTGTAATGGTAACTCACTGCAGTATTAATTGATCTTCTGGATGCCTGAGCGTGCTGTCCAAAACTGACCTCTGTGCTTCAGAGCCAAAATATAAGATGAAGACAGAGTTTGCAATAATGTGGAATGATAGCTTTCCAGGGCAAAGGAAGCTACAGCAGGCTAAGGTCCTCAAAAACTGGAAGCACTTCCCCCAGAGGAAGGGGTAGGGAGGGTGCTTATGTGGAAATATAGGATCTAGCCAGCTTCCACAGAAATTGTGTGTCTGTTTCTGGCCTCCCCTATCATGTTTTAGGGTGGACCAAGTTCCTGAAACAGAAGGCTAAGAAGGAAGGAGGGGAGATTTGCAGAAGAGAAGAGAAGATCACTTGGTTTAAAATTGAGCCTCCTGGAGACATTAGTGAAGCCACTTTGATTTTTGTTCAACTCTATTCTTTAAGTGGTTTCAGGTGGAGCATCTTACAAGCTTCTGGCCATTTAGATATCTTCTTTTGTAAAGTATTTCTTCTTCAATCTTTTCAACAATTTTCCTATTGCATTGTCTTATCAGACACAAAACGTGTGAGAACATTACACTGAAAACTATAGAGCATTACTTTGAGAAATTAAAGAACTCAATACACGGAAGGATAAAATCTGTTGTGGATCAGAAGACTCATTATGATTTAGATGTCAATTCTCCCCGCAATGATCAACAGATCTCACACAATGCCAATCAACATTCTAGCGGATATTTTAGTAAGCATTTATAAGCTGATCCAACATGTATATGGAAATGCAATTGATCTTGAAGTATGAAAACAATGTTGAAAAGATGAAGTGGCAGACTTACATTGCCTATTCCAGAATTACTATAGAAATATGTTATGCAAATTAAAAGTGATTTGTTCTATTAATCTTCAGTTGTAAGAGTTTCTGCACATTGTCAGCGCAGCATGGCAGTTGCCTTCCTCCATTTTTACTTCAGTTACTTGATCTAAAATCTGGCCACTATTCACATTTTTTAAAGACTTTAATTATATATTTGTCAGAGGGAGAGACAGTGAAAGAGGGAAAACAAGCAGAGGGAGTGGGCCAGGGAGAAGGAGGATCCCCACTGAGCAGGGATCCCAATGTGGGGCTCCATCCCAGGACCCTGGGATCAAGACCTGAACCGAAGGCAGAGGCTCAAAGACTGAGCCACCCCGGCACCCCTATTTACATTATTTTTATATTAAGAGAGAATACTAAAGTCTAGAAAGCATTTAAGTTCTCAAAGGGAAAGGCAGAACATCACTGATCATTATGGCATGGATGCCCCATTAGACTTTGTGAACTTGCCTCAATTTCTCCAGCTGGCCAAGTCAGAGAGGGAAGCTACTGATACCAGCAGTTTCCTCTGGAGAACTTGGAAGTATTGACTGCTTTGGGCCAATGTGGAACCCAGGTGTTTGCAGTGTCCTGAGAAGCTGAAATCTGGTTGCAGTCTAGGGTCCCAGGGCCAAGTTGGTCAAAAACACCATGAGACCAGGACAACCACTGATGTCATCCCCAGCAGCACTGGCCACTTCCTCCCAGGAACTCACCACACCCATACTTCTCATGACTTCTGGTTACTAGACTGAAAGCCCTGTGAGACTTGGGAGAATGCTGTATTTACCTCTGTATTTATGGCTCCAAGAACCAAGCCAAGCACTGAGGAAGCTCTCAGAGACATTCCTTCCCTGGTCCAATAGAAGTGGTCAAAAATCTCCACTCACAACTGCAGTCCTGGGCTAAATGTCCTGTAGGAATGCTCTCTGCTTTCTCCCAGGAGGCAACAAATCCCCTTCCTTAAAGAGGAGCCTCACAACACTCTCCATGTCCCATGACATGCCCTTTTGGAGAGTTCTGATTAAGAAGGGACTGTCCTCTTGGATTCTTCTCAATGGCTCACCCTGTCATTAGGATTCAATGTACTTGGCCTAGCCCCCACACCCTTTTAATGAGCAGGGAGTCCCCCTACCCCTCCCTTTCACCATGGGACTTAATCCCTGGGACCTGGGATTATGACAGGAGCTGAAGGCAGACTCTCAAGGGACTGAGATACCCACATGCTACAAGATTTTGTTTGCATTCTCCCACTCACTGCTTGACCTCAGTGAAATCTTATTGATGTCAGAATTCCAAGTTCTTAACATGGACTAAGGAAAATGAAACACTGAACATATAGAAAAGTTACATTGTGCATAAAGCCCTTTACAACCGTAAATTCAGAAGAATATTATTGGTGTCACTGTCTCAGAGGCAAGAGTCCCCTACTGTGGTCGTTTCTGACCTTACAACAATACTCTGCTGTAAGAATGGACCTCTCCGACTCTTATCCAAACATCACTGACTCCCCTAAGCCCACACTTACTTGGAAGACATCCACCATAAGGGCAGCTCCAAGGTTGAATCTAGGGGTCTGGGGCACAGCCTCATGGTCACATTCTCCTCCTCTGGGAACTGGTGCTTCCCGGCAGTACAAATGAATCCCAATCCCTCCTCTGAGTCTCCATGGCAGAGGCCCAGATTCACTGTGGTCTACGTTACTCTCCTAGTCCTCCCTGCTCAGCTCAGGCTGCTCTCTGCAGAGTTCAATGCTTCTGTATGCATTCCTTGGTTTACCCTAATTTTTCTGGACTCAAGTTGTGTTTATTCTTCCCTCCTCGGGCAACCACCTGCTCCACCTTTGCCTTGTTCTTCTTTGTGTTATTCTCATCTTCCAAACTTGCTGATATCCCATCTTCCATCTCCTCTCTCCATTCTCTGCTTTCAGTGTGGACTCAGCTCAGTCTCCTGTGGGAGACACTCAGAGAAGGGATCAAGTCAGGTCTCGGCTGCAGTCCCTGTTACAGGGCCGTGTAACAGGCACCTTAGTCCCTCATGCACTCACAGAAACTGAGCAGGAAGGGACTTTGGAGAATTTGAATATCAACTGTATCTTACACATGAGGAAACTGAGGCCCACAGGGATTAGGTGAATTTCCCCCACCAGCTGATAGCAGCAGAGCCCCCACACAGACCTTGACTGCACACTTCCCTGTCCAGGCTCCTCACACACCCTCCAGAAGCCCACTTCTGATTATCAGGGGACACTGGTCAATCAACATTCCCACTGTTAAAACAAAAATGTCAAGAAGGACTTTTCCCTGGAATATGCTTTTGTCACAATTCTACACTCCTACAGTTTATACTCAGTTGGTTTACAATCCTGGGTGAACTACAGTAAGTACACCCTCAAGATGGATGAGCAGGAAGGCCTCAAGTTGGAAACAGCTGGGGGGTTAGGAGTGTCTCTTCTTTTCCTGTCTCACAGATTATGGGTTATAGCTAAGGTGGTCTCCAACTGAGGTGGTTTCCAATCATCTAAGGAACTCAACCTATGGTCAGCAGGGGCAGTTCAGGCCCTAACAAAGTTCTTCTGGGAACTGTCATTCCCATCTGTCCCCACTGGGGCACTGAAACCACCATGTAAATATCATAAAGCCATAGGTTATTGTAGGACCCATGCTGGAAAGGACAGCACATGCTCTGCACCTGCTGTTCTTGATCTGATAGCCCAGGAGTTGGGAAACAATGAAAGCACTGTGTACCTCCTACGGGTCTCCAGCTTATATCAACCTTCTTCCTCTATCAATTTCACACCTGGGACAACCCATGCAGGGAAAAGTCCTTTTGAGCCATTTTGAAATGAGAAATTGAGACACAGGAATTTCAAGACAATTAGTCAAAGTCACACTTTCCCAGTCAGGTTTCCAGCTACAGCTGTAAGATCAGAGCTTTCTATTTTCTTCTTCTGTGTTAGAGATTTCTAGTGAGAATGAACAATACCAGCCTCTGATGCCCTCAACTGACACTCCCAGCCTGACTCTATATTCTCATGTTTGAAATAAATAATCATGCAAGCAGAATATCAACCTCAGACCATACTGTTTTGAGACCTTGATAAAATAAGACAAAACAAGGCCTCCTGACAATATTGTTCAGGACAGATGAAAACAAGGTTACAGTGCAAACTACAACCGAAACATCATCCTCTCTTCGTAAGGAAATGACTATTACTTCTTTACTATAATCATAGAATTGGCAGTGCTAATAGTGTTCAGTAGAGAACAAATCCGCCTCTTTCCATGCTCCCCCACATCACCTACCAAAGTCCAAATCCTAGAAAAGGTCCTTACTGAGACCTTGGAGTGTGTTCTTTCTGTCTGCAAGGAGTAAAAAAGCCAGCGTGGTTTATGAGAAATGTGTTCCTGCAAATTCAACATAGAGGAATGAATACCAGCTTTCCAGCAATTAATAGAAGTCGAAACCCAGCACCAGAAATAAAGCTGATATTGTCTATGAGATGCCCAGGCTCTGGAACTCCAGAACTTGATTTAATCCTTAAAAAGGAGGAAAAAAAAAAAAAA